ATTGGAAAGAATGAAAAGACATAAATACTCTTCAAGCTATTTTACATTTCAACATAAACCTTCGATGACCATCGAAGCAGAGTACATATATATCATACCATATCATATAATTTAGGTTAGAATAGTGCATTCATAAGAATATTAGCTACTATTCCAAGCTAACATGCATGCTTAATACATGTAGAAAAACACTTAAACTTTCTCCTAAGCTAGGCAGTGCGCTTGAGAGGCATCGACCGTGATGCCTCCTCAAAAGTCGAAGGAAACTTCCCTTGGTTACGTGAATATATCCTCAGAGGCCATATGATGTCTCGTTAAAAGTTGAAGGTAGCTTCTCCTGATGAGGTGGATACATCCCAAGAGACCGTAAATCCTTGGTGAACCTTAGAACCATAAAAACACAAAAGTGAACAAAAGAAAAAAATGCTTTGTTTTAATAGAGGGAAAATACTTAAGCCAATCCTGGAACCTTAAACACATGTGAGCAAACAAAATAAAAAGGCCTTTTATTAGTTGGAAATCCCTTAAACCTCATTTGATTTTACGAGAAAGTATGGAAACATAATCTGACAAAGATACAGTCATATTATAAATTTCAGTCATATCTTGTACTTTGTGTGTACCTGATCATAATACATTATAAAAGAAATTATATGGGGGCAGAAAGTATATCAGAGCGAAAGATGTTCTAGACATGAACACGTGGAAATCAGTTAGAGGTAGGAATCAGTCACGCCCCTAACTATAGGTGGGTAGGCGATCGTCTAACTCCACGCTTTTCTTTGGGCCCCCAATAAGTTTATTATATATAGTTCATAAAAAACTAAAAACAAAATAAAGTCTAAAAGTAATCAACCAAGCCAACCCAGTTATCTAATTAACAAATATATTAATATATAACTAAAAAGTAAACAATAGGTTAGTTCAGTCTTTATTTTGTAGAAATAAATATTTAAGCTTAATTATATGGATGTCTTAGTAAGTCCAATTAAAGTAGAAGATTTGATTTTTTTTTTTTTTATGTGATTTGATTTTTATTTTTAACGTAGATGATACTTTATGTCAAGAACTGTTTTGTGAATTACTATACATAAAATACTTGAACTTGGTATTAGTGATTAAGATGTTAGAGCTATAATAATGATTTTAATATGAAATAGAAGCATACATGCTATAGAAAAAGAGTACTAGAAATAAATCTATGACATTTTACACATCATGTAGTTGTCATAGTCTTAATCTAGCACTTTGTGGTATGACAAATTCTTGTATATAAGTAATGCATTTATATATGATTTTCATCTTCTACAAAACGATGAAATTTTTTTCAAGATAATGTGAAAGGTGTAATACTCAAGCAACTATCACAAACACGTTGGAAAAGTCAAATTGAAAGTGTTAAAGTAACAAGATTTCAAGCGTTGAGAATAAAAGACGCTTTAGAACACTTAGTGGATACATGTGATGATCACAAGGTATCTAGAAATGTTAAAAGTTTATCTTCTGACATTATGAATCTTGAGTTTCTTGTTCGTAATGGTTATTTGGTATAATATATTGTAAGCTATTAATATAGTATGCAAAATGTTGCAGAGTGAGAACATATCTATTGATGCTACTATTACTCACTTGAAAGCACTTATTTGATTTTTGGAAATATATATAAAATCTTGATTTTAATGCGACGAAGATTATTACTAAAGAAATTGTTGCTCAAATGAAAGTTGAACCTATATTTTTCGAAAAACGTATTATTAATAGAAATAAGCACTTTTATGTGTCAATTATGCGATACCATATTTAGTTGAAGAATCTTTTAAAATTGATTATTGATTTTATATAGACTATAGTTGATCATGCTCTTTATTCACTTAAATTAAGGTTTGAACAATTTCAAAAATATAATTTTTTTAAAATTTTTATTTAATTTAAAAAAATATATTGAAGATTGTAGATGATAATTCTTCGAAGTGTTGGTGTGATAAGCTTGAAATTTTTTTGAAGTATGCCATAAATTTTGATATTATGGGTAACAGTTATTTTCTGAGCTATGAATTGTGAGAAATTGTTTGTCGAAGAGACCAAAAAGGTGATTGAAGTGTTATTTACTATATTAAAATGATAGATTGTTATTTTCCAAATATGCCGATTGCTTATAGAATATTATTGACTATATCGGTTACAATTATTGTTACAGCTGCATATGTCAAAAGCAACTTATCAAAGTTGAAGTTAATAAAATCCTACCTTTGGTCAACAACGTTGCAAGAAAAGTTGAATGGCTTGGCTATGATGTCTAGTGAAAAATAAGTTCGAAAATAAATTGATTGTAATAATGTTATTGTTACTTTTCTATCAAATAATTCTAGAAGAATAAATTTAGTTTAGACATTTAAGATTTTGTAGATTATTATTATTATTGTAATTTTGACTTTGACTATCTTTATCTAAGAATTTTTTTTATTTATTACTAATATTTTTTAAATATTTATTAGGCCCCATATTTGAAATTGACATAAAAGAGGCAAATAATTTTTTTATGCCATACAAACGAAATTTTTGGACAAATATTGTCATCGAAGACAAATGTCAAGAATAATAGAAAATTGATCATAACAATGGGAAGAAAATGTTGAGTACATAAAAGTGGAAATGAGTAAAGATTGGGAACATTGATTACTATTAAAATGTGATGTAGTTTACAATAATTGTGATGTAATTATAATCAGCCAATTATGAATTATCATTTCTTTTCTTTATTTTTCTATGTCCTTTTTTGAGCCTCATTTGTAAATAATACATTTTTCTCTAAACTCATTTTGAACAATACACTCTATAAAATAATTTTACTTGTAAACCTAATTTTTTTTCTACTTTTCAATAGTGGTGGCAATTGAGTTGAGTAGTTCTTTAGCTCGTGGACTCTTCTCAGAAAAGAGCAACCCTTGAACGGGTTGGGCTCATTCTAGGACGAACTCGAGCACGAGCCAAGCGTGACGACTCGGTTGGCAAGCCACGCTCACACTTGTGGCTCACCTAAGAATAGTGAAAAAAAATGGTCTTCTGGAATATTTTTTTCTTCGATAAATACCTCAAAAATTCACCATTTTTTGAACAATAAATTCAACAATCTCTCTACTCTCTCTACATTCTAATAACCCTCATTATTCAATTATTTTATAATTCTTCTACTTTCTGCAATTATATTTCATACACATTCTTTCATAATTACACAATTCACATACATTCTATAATTTTTATTACATTCAAATTTTAATTCTATAGTATATATTCTCTCAATTCATTCTATACACTATACATTATCCAATTTATACATTTCATCTTTATTCTCTACACTACAATCTACATTCTTGTCATTCTATAGTTATATTACATATTATACACATATTGATCATCGTGCTTTCATTGAGGGTTTGTTCGGTGGCCAATCACCTATGACGCCACAATCTGAATTTTTCAATCAATTTGTCGATCTCAACGATGTCCCCATCCCCGACGATTTGTAGGGGATGAACCCAATGGGCATTGACGATACTCTCAGAAGTAGTAATTCAATTGATTTGGATGACATCGATAAAGGCTGACAAAATGAAAAGACAAATTTTCGATGCAAGAGGAAAGCAAAAGTAAAAAAAAAAAAACTACAAAGTATTGAGAACACTTTTCGAAAGCCGAATCGGATTGGATCAATTTGTTCGAAGCAAAGGAAGAAGGGGCCAAGACAAGTAACTATGCGACCGCATAGTTACCCAAGCTATGCGATCACATAGCCACCATCCGCAAGCAAGATGGGCAATTTCATGCGGCCTATGCGACCACATGACTGCATGCAAATGGCCTATGCGAATTTTGGCAGAATATTTTATTTTACGCGAATTTCCTAATTTCCTTAGAACTCTAATTTAACGATATTTTTTAGAGTATTTTCGAAATATTTCGTACTTTCTAGGGGTTTGTATACTTGGTATAAATAGGTTTATTTTTTACCTTGAAAGAAAGTTTTTGACACTATGAATAAAATTGAGATTTTTCTCTCCATGAGTTCTTCCATGAAATTTCGAACTTATCAAATATGTTGAATATTTGTGTCGTTTATCCATAGAACTTATCAAAGGATTAGGCACCCTTTATGGCGTTTGCAAATCGAGGTTCTTGTTTCTACATATCAACGGGTCTAAGATTTAATATACCTTAGGTTCTTAAATCGTGGGCTCAGGTCGAGATTCTATCGTCTACAACTTGGATTTGGGCTTCCCTAGCGTTTTCAAATCAATTCTGTGAGTTTCATGCGATTTCCATACCCGGTTTCTCATCACTCATCTTCAGTTTAGTACAATTTTGACCATCTAACATCAATCTTCTAGAAAATCTAATCACTTTTTCCACTACAATAAGTTTAATTAATGGAACATATTGAGCTAAACACTAAAAATAATTGATAGATGACGTGTAAAAAACTACTTTTAATTTATTCTTTTTAAAAAGTATTTTATTTAAATATGTATTGTTGTGTGACGTGGACATACAAGTTTATCTATCAATTTTAATGTCTAATTTGGCGATTACATTAGTTAAACTAATGAGGTGAACTGGTTATACTAAGGGGTTGTTTGAGCTCCATTTTTTTGAAAATTCATTTTTTCAAAATTTATTTTCAACTACATATTCTCTAATAAAATTATATTATACTTCAATCGAAAACTTTTTCTTAATTTTTAACTACAATTTCTCTAAAAAAATCATTATTCAAAAATGCATTTTTTCCTCTCAAAATGTGGTTCAAACAAGGGCTAAATTGAAAATGAGTAACATTTTCATGAAAATTGGAATTGAACGATTTAATCGTAAGAAATTGAAGATGAGGGATGTGGACGCAACGTCCGTCAAAGTCGGATGAGCTGCGGTGCATTTAATTTTAACCCGTTCATTTTTTTGGTATGCCATGGAAAATGCTGTACACCCAATGAAGGTGAACTGAAATGGAGTCACTAACATCATCTGCCCTCTCGAATTGGGTGGTTCCCAGTTCATCTCAACCCTTCCTCAGATCTTCAAACTGCTCTTTCCGAACACCTTTTAATTGTAAAAACACTGAATTCCCTTTTCTTCTCCTTAAAACCACAAATCTTTATCCACTTAAATTTTCCACAGTATATACCAGAGCTACCCTTGATGAGAAGAACCAAAATTCGACTGCCCCAGTTCTTGTTCAAGAAGAACAAGAAAAAAAACAACCCAATAAGGTATTTAGTAATTATCTTCAGATAAAATATAATTATCTTGGCATTGCTTTCTAATTTTCTTGATTCCACTACCCTTGATGTTTATCTAAGCTCGAAGTGAATTAAAGTTAATTTTTTAGTAAATTTATGTTTTTGTTTGACAACTTAACTTATTTGGTTATTTTGATATTAACAGAACTGTTACATTAAAAATGAAGTATTTCCAGCTTCAAGAAAAACTTGCTTATTTACTTATAAGTGAAATTATAATTATATTTTTTAAGCTTATTCAAGGATGAACTAGATAATCTCTGAATTGGGAGCTATTTTCTTCTGTGATTTGTGTTTAGGAAGTTGAAGAGAGTGTGAAATTGCTTAAGAATGCAGCCAAGACGAGAAAAGTTCCAGCAGAGGAAATTCTATCTGCTTTTTCAGTGATTGAGAAGGCAAAACTTGATCCGTCCGGTTTTTTTGAAACTCTTGGAGGATCCCACTCACCTGGAAGAACTTGGATGCTTATATTTACTGCTAAGGTTATCATTTAATCTTTCGTCTAATTACACCATTATTTTTCTCTGTGGTTCCCCCTTTTTGGATGCTTATATGTGTGTTTTGGCAGAAACAATTGGAAGGCGGTAGATATTTCCCAATTACAGCCGTTCAAAGGTTCGATGCTGCAGTAAGACTCCTCATGCCTCTACACACTTATATTCTTTCCAATACTATGGCATTTCTGTTGATATAGAAGCATGGATTGAAAGAAAAATGTTGGACAGAAGAAACCAACCTTTGAAAGTATAATTCTTATCAATATCTCTATACTACAACTGGACTTTTGTGTTGTATTGTATATGTATTTATTTGAACTGAAATTTATTATCACGGTAATTTCAACAATGTCACTCCATGAAATGTACTCCTTTTATTTACATTTTTGAACTGAATCTGTTTGCATTCAATGGATTTTATCCAAGGGTCTGCAAATTATTTTTTGGGCTGTTATCTGAATTCTTTCAACTGAAACATTTTTTTGGGGAGATGGAAGAAAGAAATTAGCTTTCTATGCATTGTACTTTAAGGCGCACATAATGAATTGGAGGGAAAACATAGAAATGAGAAAATATTATGCAGAAAACATGTGAAACTGGATAATACAAGTAAAGATTCTGGAAAAATTTCGGTAACCACTCATTATGTGCCTTTCTGTTCATGTTATACTATGTTTTCATTAATCATTATAATTCTATACAAGTTCCCTCTTGTTAGGAGAGAAAATGAAAATTCCAGAACCTAGCTATGTTAAAGTCTGCAACTATTGTAGTAGCTCAACATATGTATTCAATGTCCCCCTTATCCATATCTAGCTAATTTATATTTTTTGTAAACAAAATTCAAATGAATAAGCGCGGTTCGCCAGTTCGTAAGGTTTTAGATGACTTGGGTTAACAATTGTAGCTCCCCAAAGCTTCAATACTTAAGTTTTGATGAAACTTTTTATTTGATTTTGTAGGGTAAGAGGATTGAAAATGGAGTTTACTTGGGCCTTCTAGGATCTTTGACTTTTGAAGGCAGGCTTTCATGGAAAAATAGAATACTTGCATTCATTTTTGAGCGGATTCGGGTAAAAATAGGTCCTTTTAACCCATTTGATATAAGTATCAAAGGAAAAGATGAACGAGAGCCAAGCAACAAAGATCCATTTTTCATCTGGTTTTATGTTGATGAGGAGATAGCTATTGCTCGAGGCAGAAGTGGAGGGACTGCTTTTTGGGTCCGTTGTCAACGAGTCACCTGATTTGAATTCATTGTCCGCTTGGTTTATACTTCTCTATGTATGCCTATACATAAAAACTTGCTAAGATACATAAATTATTCGTTAAATGTACAACTTCCATCCAAATGAGATGTATAAGCATGTAAAAGGATCACACTTGTCAATTTTACACCTTCATTCTTTTATCATTTGCTTATTTTCTTCTACGGTATTTGCCATATGATAACCAATCGAAATTTCAGGCATCTTAGTTTGTGAAGCTGTTGGATCAAGTTGACTAGAATAACAAAATTTAGAATGGAAAATGATTTAGGACTTTATCTGGCTATGTTGAAGATTAGCGTGCGGTTTCAGGAATATTCTTTCAATTGGATTTGTAAAACTTGAAGCTTTGACTCTTGAAGTCGCTTAAAATGTAAGTTTTCAGTGTACATCCTTGTTACCACATCTATGCTCCGTCTTGTTCTTTCAAACGATTCAGTGATTGAGAAAATCGATCATTTTTGGGATTTCTAGGTTGAACCTGTTTCAGATATCTTGATATTTCTCCTCTACTATAAAGTGAAGGATCTTATATCTTTTATGCTATGCAAAATTAGAGCAAGATTTCAAAATTTCAGTTGCTGTTTTTCATTATTCCTTTCGAGTGTTGCCAGTCTACAATCTTTATTATATGCTATAAAAACTTGGTATCTTGAGGCTTGGATTAACAATTTCAGGTGAATTTACATATCACATTAGATTAACTTGAATATAGCCTGAATTTATTCACATGATGAATAGTTAAAACTATTGACCTTAAAGAATGCATATAGTGTAGAATTCTTGGTAATGCTCCAGAGGAAAAGAGAGGAAAAATACTGAAAACTTTAGCTAACAGAAATAGGAAAGGATACATATCATAGTATAACAAAATAAAAGACAGTTGTGCAATCTTTGAGGCATTAACTTTCAAATTATGAATGTGATATCATCTTTTGTTGTGTACAAGTGTTGGGATCATGATTTGTTGGCAGATAAGGAGCGCAAGTAGTCAAGGCCACCTTGGAAATAGTTGACAACATTTTCTGACGGAGGCAAGCTTTCGCGGATTGCAGTAACTTGGATAAAGTTCTGAGTCCATTCGCTCAGTGAAGGGAACTTCTCGGGAACAAGCAGTTTCATTCCTCCAACCTCTTCCATGGCATTGAGCCATAGAGATGTCCATCCGATGACTAGATCCAGGTATCCTATTTGCTCTCCCCCAAAATACTTCTTCCCTTCAATCTGTTTCTCCAAATGTTCAAACATTTCTTGTGCGGTGTCAATGGCCTTCTTCTTATTTTCTCCTTCTGACTTCACAGCTTCCCATGCGCTAAGGACACACTGTACTTGGCAAAAACGGTTAGTATATGTACTTGGTGTGAAGAAATCCCATATCCAAAACGGTTAGTATATGTACCTCAAGGAAATGTGTATAAGGATTCAAGTTTTACATTGGCCGTCAACCTATAGCAGCCCTCTATCTTTTACATGTGTTTGGATCTTGCTATAATGAAAATAGTTGAAGTTTTTTTAATCAGCAAACACTGTTGTCTTGTGTTGATGTGAATGAGAGTTATGTCGAGATATTCATTCCTTCATACAACAACTTGCTTCTCATATTGACGAATTAGAAGAGATGTCAATCACCAAGCATATTGGGAAACAACTATTAGTGGATGGTGGATTGGAGATTCAGTGGTATAATGTTAAGAGGATCAGGGGTATGCTGGGATTTGTGAAGAGCAGCACCTTACCATGTTCATGACCAATTGGATCTTGACGTCAAGTACCAGTAGGAACAAAGGAAAAAAAAAAAAAAAACACACACACACACACACACACACACACATATATATATATATATATAAGCAACACCATATATTTTTTTCCTTTTTAATTCAAAAGTTTCTAATAGTAGTATTTGATTTTGCAGATTTCACCTTGAAACAATAGTATTATCTGAGGCATCACTGATCAGAGAATTAACAGATACTGAAATGATGTAAAAGAAACTAGAAAGTGAATGCCTAAAATGCTAAAAATTGTATTTTAGTTAAGTGTTTACCTTCTCATCAACAAACTTAGCCCAGAAACGTGCCGTCGCTCGTTCATAAGAATCTTCAGGCAATAACGGGGTATGTTTCCACGTCTCGTCAATGTATTCGAGGATGACAAGTGATTCAACCACCGGCTTGTCATCGTGTATTAGCACAGGGACTTTCTTGTAGACGGGATTCATCTTTAGAAGGAGAGGACTCTTGTTAAACAAGTCTTCTTCAATGAATTCATACTCTACCTCCTTAAGTTTCAGAGCCCATATAATCCTGGCACAGGGAAAGCTTGATTGAGTGCCAAGCAACTTCACTTCACTCATTCTAGTATTGATCTGCAGAATCTGTACTTGTTTATATCGAATATCACCGGGAACCTGATGAACGAACGAGATCGGCTGGACGACTGAGGGCTTGGGTGGAGGTCCTATAGAGCCACAAGCATGGCGCAGTCTTCGTTTTGTCAGATGTGGTCGAACTGAGCCTCTAACCTTGAATCCTCTTAGCAAAACTGATGGGTCTATTATATTTAAAAATATTTCAGAAGTTCCATATTTTGACTTATTCATAATTTGATCAGTTGAAAATTCAATTACATGTCTGTTTCATGGAAAATTCAACAGCCTTGTTGTTACATGATAATTGGTATTTGATTTGGGTAAATTGTATCTGCGTTCACTGAACTTACAACAAAATATCAATTGGCTTGCTAAAATTTATTTTATCACAATTGGGCCACTGAACTTCAATGTACTTCCAAATATCACAACGGTGTAACATTTTCTAAAAATTGAAAAAAATAAAATAAAAATTGCTTAGCCCCAATTTGATTACATTAATTTCAAAATACATTTTTTATTTC